TCATACTAACACTTGGTAATTAGAAAAGAAAATTCAGTATCCTGTTCATCAATAGTTTAATTTAGAATCCATGAAACTTGTCTCCTGAATGTTCTCTCTTGTGTTTGACACCCTACATGTCTAGCACCTCTTTTCTCCCTTCTTATTTTCTTGGTGAGACTAGTGTGTATTAGATCTTTTACTTTTGTCACAAATAGAAAAGCTCTTGTTCAATTATCTAGGCCAAAAAAAATATGGCATAACTCATTTTGAAATTCTTTCCATCTTTTTGTAACCCTAGGTTTTTAATGAAATATTTGCATCTTCACTCTTAATGCTTGCCTGTAATATCCAATTCCCATCTATATTTAAAGAGCCTTTAAATCATCAAGAACACACCATACAATTCCTGTTGAGGATAATTGGTGATGTTTTATTGATTTTTCTTTGTATCATTGCATTTTTTTTGTGCACCTACTGTGTGCTACGACATTCAAAGTTGTTTTGGAGATAAGGAAATTGTTGAATTTCAGGCAGACAAAGAGATTTGTACCATGGGGTGACTCACATGAATTCAACCATTAAGCGGAAGGGTGACTTAGATTCAGAGGTTAAACTCATGATATGAATTTTTCTCCTTGCCTTGCCACTATTTTAATATTTAATCATCAGCAAAAGAGATGAATTTTCTGTTTCTATCCTTCCTTGAAAATAACAATTATGGGCGGGGCGCGGTGGCTCACGCCTGTAATCCCTGCACTTTGGGAGGCCGAGGCGGGCGGATCATGAGGTCAGTAGATCGAGACCATCCTGGCTAACACGGTGAAAACCCGTCTCTACTAAAATACAAAAAATTAGCCGGGCGCGGTGGCGGGCGCCTGTAGTCGCAGCTACTCCGGAGGCTGAGGCAGGAGAATGGCACGAACCCGGGAGGCGGAGCTTGCAGTGAGCCGAGATGGTGCCACTGCACTCCAGCCTGGGCGACAGAGTGAAGACTTCGCCTCAAAACAAAAAAAAAAAAAAAAAAGAAAATAACAATTATGGGTAGGCACGGTGGCTCATGCCTGTAATCCCAGCACTTTTGGGAGGCTGAGGCAGGCGGATCGCTTGAGCCCAGGAGTTTGAGACCAGCCTGGGCAACATGGCAAAACCCTGTCACTGCAAAATATGGAAAAAAATTAGCCAGGAGTGTTGGCATGCACCTGTGGTCCCAGCTACTTGGGAGGCTGAGGTGGGAGGATTGGTTGAGCCCGGGAGGTGGAGGTTGTGGTGAGCCAAGATTGTGCCACTGTATTGCAGGCTGGGTGACACAGTGAGGCCCTGTCTCCAAAAAAAAAAAAAAAAAAAAAAAGGACAATTATGAGTGGAATAAGAAAATGCAGGCCAAATCTCTATTTAACAAATAAACGTGAGGACATCTATGTTTAACCAAAACTTTCTGTTCCAGCAGATAACCTATTTACAACAAATGTTCACATGAAATTTTTCATTAAAACAAAGAAATATGAATGGCTATTGGGATTTACTGGTAATTTAAAATATTCCTTGTTTAATATAACATACCTGTCTAGGACTCATTCTAAGTGGGGTACCTTGTAAACAAACATAATTGATTATTCCTTTGAGCATTTTCTCCTAGGACTTTGTAAAGTACTTCTAATTCCATTTGAAATTACATATCAAGTTGTAGTCAAAACCCAATTGTCTCTAGTTCCCACACCTTTTGGTTGAACCACATGAAATTACCATTTCGCAGATAAAACAGGCCAAATATTAGCAATTTCGTACAGTTCAATCTAATCACTTTTCCAAGGAGTGGGACAACTCTTTTGCAAAAGGCAAGAGATCTATAGAAAAGGGATTGGTTGTTGATGTGCTAATTTTAAGTCATGCATTCATAAGTTTAAGAAATATCTTAGTAATGAATCTGAGCCAGAAGATACAGTTGACCCTTGATTAACAAGGGTTTGAAGCGAGTGAGTCCACTTTTGTGCAAATTTTCTTTCGTCTCTGCCACATCTGAGACAGCGAGACTAACCCCTGTTCTTCGTCCTCCTCCTCAGCCTATGCAATATGAAGAAGAGGACGAAGAACTTTAGGATAATCTACTTCCACTATTGACACTGGTCAATAACATTTATTTCTCTTCTTTATGATTTTCTTAATAACATTTTCTTTTCTCCAGCTTACTTTAGGAATACAGTATATAATACTTAAAACATACAAAATATGTGTCACTTAACTGATTATGTTATCAGTAAGGCTTCTCAACAACAGGCTATTAGTAGTTAAGTTTTGGGGGCGTCAAAAGTTGCATGGGCATTTTCGACTGCATGGGTGTGGGGAGGAGTTGGTGCCCCGACCCCTGCATTGTTTCAGGGTTGACTGTACTGCTTTGGTGGTCATGGTTTCCTATGGACTGCTTGTGGTCCATGCAGATAGGCCTCTGCCTTTAACACAAATAATAAAAGGAATCGCAGAGACCAACTTCATCCTTCGCTATGTTCACTAATTTGACTAACTGGAAGTCATTATTTGACTCATTTTGCCTTGTCAACTCGGTCACATTTGAATGGGAATCAGGATTTTGAATTATTATTTCTTAATCATTTCTCGATTATGTTAGAGACACACCTCAACCCACTCCTACACACTCTCGCAATTTTTTCTTTTCCTAATCAGCTATAATTTTGATTTTGGTGTGTTGGTGAAGAAATCTGTTGTCCCACTATGCTCTGTTATCTCTCAGAATGACTTTATTGGTGGTCCTAGAAATCTTAGGAATGCTTCAGCAGAGAACTTGACGTGCACTCCCACTGTTCCTCTCAGTTACAAGCTCCAAGCCAGGGCCTGGGCTACTGTGCCCAGAGTGGATTCTGGCTTTCTGAAAGATGGGGATTTCCTAGGCAATAGCTCACTGTACCAGAGCCTCAGGTTGGTGAGAGGGCGTTCTCAGAGTTTCAGGAAAGAACGTTTGTGGCCATGGCAGCCATTAACCCCACTCTGCTCGATCACTTCCACCATAAAATTTATTTGGGATTTCTCATCTGACTAGGCTTGCTCTTTAGAGACTGATGGATCACCAGATAGAATACGGTCACGCATAATAACAGTTTTATTGATGATGTGTTTTCTTTTATTTACATTTGCTTTTACTGTATTTGGTATTGAATTTCAACACTCTCTACCCTGGTCGCACAGCTGCTCTAGAAAAGCTGTAAACAACACGGCGCTGTGCTTTCCTGCACAAACCGCCTGTCAAAGTCAAAGCTGCTCATTCTCCTCCCAGTAATTACCTTCTCAGTTTAGACTTAATGCAAGTGAAATTTTTACTTTATCATAATATAATAAATAAAAGACATTAGTTAATTAGTAGTGCTGGTATATTTCTAAAATACTAAACAGACAAACAATAAACTGTGAACTTAATCACATGAGTTCTTATACAGTTTCAAGACAGGAAAATTAGAGCTCTCAGCTACAGTCATTTTAATAATCACATGGATCTGCATTATTTATTAGTTATTACATGCTCAAGTGATTCAAGGTTGTACAATGCCTAAAATCATTCCAAAGCAAGCATACCTTTTGTCTGTTTAATTCTGAGTGGATTACATAATGCATATATTTGTATTTAGTTAAATTGCTAACTTTATTTCACATATTCCAAGAAAGAGACATCAGCCATTCCCTTGATTTCCAACCAGACTTTCTTGATATGATCCCCTAAAAAGGAGTAATCTGCTAGCTTTTTTTTTCAATGTGAAAGCTATGCAAGCCCTCAGGCAGATTTTCAAGCACTTTTGGTTCCCTAGCAAATCTCTGGTACCTTAAGAATTCTCTTGGAAGACCCAGGAATTCTGGAAAGAGTAGTAGCTTGTAGAGGCACAAAAGACAGCAAGAATGTCATTTCTATCAACAGCTTTCAAATTTGGATGGCTTTCCCTTTTCTTTTGCTGTCTGGTTACTCACCTTTCATTTTTAGATGCTTCCCTTTCACTTCTTCCAGCCCCTAGTTCAATTCTTAAATGCTTTCTGGATTTTGTGAAAAGCATGCAGCTTGAGGAAGTTTGGTTTGACTTTTACTTTTTTGCGGGGAGAGGTGGGGTGGTTCAGAATTGACTAGAACCAGCTGAGAACCAAGAAGCAACCCTTTTAAGATAGAGGACCTGTCTGTTTGTTTAGTCTTGGAGCTTGTGTGACTTGGAGGGCAATTCCGTTATATTGTATGAGGAAATAAAGTTCTTAAATATAATAGTTTTTTGTTTGCATCAACCAAAGAAATGCAGAAATAAGGACTGGTTACTTAAATTTGCTGCTAAATGAAAAGCAGGTTTGGCTTTATTCATGTTACTGTAAAAACTAAATAATAAAGTATTCACACCAAGCGTGAATTTTTTTTTTTTTGCCAGCAAAAGTTAAAACATCAAAGAAATCTCTTTCAAATACTAACAAATTTACTTACAAACACCTATATTTATTATTTCATAAATAGGCGCAACAGGTTCCATAAAAAAAGATTAAATACAGACACAGTATGAAGAAACAATAAGACAGAGCCATATGTAAAGGTTATAATTTAGCTGTTTCCAATCTGTTTCTGCATCTAATAAAATACCAGGTAAGCATTTGGCAGTTTTATACATAAAAGGACTTAAATGACATTTACTAACCATTACACAAAAAGTGATACAAAAAAGCAATTTTTCTGCAGTACAAAATAAATGTGTTTGCGCTTCCCTTAATACTAGTTTCTTTTTGTCTGATCAATGAGACAAAGCCAATTTGTTTTTAAATTAAAATCACTTGGGAATACTTTTTATTTTCAAATATTTTGAAAATATAGAACTATTAGTCAGTTGTTTTAAAAATGAAGTAAAAATATGAATGTTTGCCAATTTAACCCCTATTGTGAAATCAATAAACTGGAATGAGCCAGTTTCAATTACAATTTAGCTACAAAAACATTCACATTTTATACTCTAGGAGAGTGTAACATAGATGCTATTTACAAACTTGCTATGACTGCTACATCAAGCCATTTAAAAAGTCTTTAGTAGTTTCATATAAACACCCATTATGAAAACCAATGGAAAATCCAGGACTTTTATCCGAGACATCTACAGTTGCTAAGGCAGTTACTAGAGCGCAGCACTTCACAGCAAAAAACCAACATAAAATCTGAATGGTCCAAATTTCCTTCAGGGAAGAAGAAAAACAATGTCCATAAAGGATTAAAAAAATAATAAAGAAGCATGACTATTTCTTCCAGAGTGGGTGACCCACAAGCTCAAATGGTCCTAAGTGCTTAGCAACTTGTATTTTCTAATAAAATGGAGAACTGCCTTGACTGTACAAAGCAATCCATGGTGAAAACACTTCCCTGAATTCCTCAGTGGAAAGAAGAGGTGTTCAGACTCTCAAGTAAGGTACAGTGCTTTGTCCCTCTGCATGCCCCTGTATGAAGAGAAAAAAGACAATTCCTTGTTACAAGTCGTTCTGAGCTACAGGTGACAATGGGGGGATGGATGGCTTTGAATTATTTGCTCCAGCTTGAGTTGTTCACTGGGAAAGTGCAATTAGTTAACCTACATCTGAAGTGAGAAGTGAGCTAAAGGCATTTATTCTTGGAAGAGCTAGAAGACTGCTCAACAATTTCTGGTGTCTTCTGCCTTCACGAATGTGAAACTATCCCGGATCATGTTTTTGGAAGCAACAGAACGATCAACTAGGAATGATATCATGCTATGAGTGCTGTCCACCACCAGGTGGCGATGACCACCCGCTTACCCACTACTGCAGTAGTCGTTATTCCAGTCCACCGGCTGTGGGGGAGGATTTCTGCACCCCGAACGCACATACTCCATTGCTTGGGTGACAACTTGTGCAGCTGTAGATGTAGGATTGATAATAGTCTGATAGTCGGGTTGAAGAGTAAATCCCTGAAAGGGAAAGCAAGTCCGTAAATAAGGATCAAAATGCATTTTAAGAAGAAAAGCACCTAAATATTTATTCATTCTTTGCAGACACACTAGGCCTCTTGCTTCTGTCTCTGCAAGGGCAAGCCTGTCGGAAGAGCCCAGAAAATTTAAAACAAAGGTAGAAAAGAAATGTCCACAAGTCCATTCTTTTTACCTTTCCTTCATTTAATCATGTGTCAGAAAACCTTTAATTAAATACCCTTGAGCAGATAAATTGAATTGAGAAACAATTTCAAATATAGAGGAGCCAACTAAATCAAAACAAAGGGAGAAGAGGGCCTAAACCCCTCAAAGTTTATGTTTTCTATCAAACGTAAGGATACATTAATAGTTAATCCCCAGAATATGCAACAGAATCTTTTTTGAAGGATTCAGGCAGCAGGTGGCTGAGTGTTTTATTAGACTACACCTATTCACATATTGTTCTCAAACCCCTTTTTCTTCATTCAGTCACAAAGGGACCATCTGCTTCTTCTTTTATTTGTATTTCTCCCTCAGCTAAAAAATTTCAACCAAAGCTTTTAAACAGTTGTTGGACTAATATAGAGAAAAGAGATTCAAAACAACTTGCCATTGGAAAACACAGGGAGGGAAAAGTGTACGACAGAGCAAATATTTTTTAATTGAAAAGTCTATTAACTGGCAAACAATAATCAGACTTCAGGAAGATTCTGCTAATACACTGGCATGGTGAAGTGTTGACTTTTAATCCTAGCGAAGCTATTAAAAATTCAAGGACAGAATCTCTGAAGTATACAGCTATATCTGGTAAACAAAAAGCATTCTACACTAAGATTTATTTTTAGATTCTCTGGTGAATTCAAGAGCCACATAAGCAAGCTTTGCTGGAAATGACCAAAAAGGCAACTTAATTAATCTTATGGTTGTCTCTGAAGCAGACTCCATCCATGGTTTTAACCACTAAGAAATCAAGAGATTAAAAAACAAACCATTCTCTATTTACTTGGAGAAAGCTTTTGAAGGCATAATATTGGTGAATTTTCACTTTTAAAGAACTCAGCAGGATGATGGGAGGATTGATTTTTAACTAGGGATACCTCCTTAGACTTTTATTCATGTTTGGGTGTCCCTCGTGTAAAGACTCGAAGGCACCTATTACCAAAGATTCTAATTTCTCATTATTCAGTTTTAGGTATTAGGTTTATTTCCCATTCAAATGATAAAGACTTCCAGCCAACATCACCACTGATTCCCACACGAACTGTGGACAAAGACAAAACTCTGAATGATTGGAGACAAATCACTGAAGAATGGAGAATTCAACAAGACTGGTTACTTGATCTCACACAGACTAAAAGAAATTCACAGCTTGCTTAAGGAAAATAAGTTTGTCTATGTAGATGTGACCTCTTCCTCAAGCTGTAAATATCTTCCAAAATATTTCCCTAGTGTCTATTTCGATGCTGGGCGAAGGGCAGGAGAAAACTCTCGAGAGGAGTCTTGTCTTGGCTTCCTTTATTCAGCCTCATCACAAGGCTGCTGTAAGCATCTTGAGATCAGAGAGTGTTTCAAATACTTACTGGGTATTCTCAGGGCCTTGCCCACAATAGAGGCTCAATAAATCATGCTTTTTGTAAGTAAAGTTTATTGCAGACTGTTTGATACTACTGTTGGAAAGGTTCAGGGTATATAAATGTTTAAATGTCAGGGATTTCCTATCTTTTTGTTGTTGATAGAGACTGGGTTTTGCTCTGTCACCCAGAATGGAGAGCAGTGGCATGATCACAGCTCACTGCAGCCTCAAACTCCTAGGCTAACGCAACCCTTATGCCTTGGCCTCCCAGGTAGCTAGAACTACAGGTGTGTGCCACTATGCCTGGCTAATTTAAATTTATATATATATATATGTATATGTGTGTGTGTGTGTGTATATATACAATTTTTTTTTTTTTTTTGTACAGATGGAGACTTGCAATGTTGCCCAGGCTGGTCTTGAACTCCGGGGCTCAAGTGATCCTCTTACCTTGGTCTCCCAAAGTGCTGGGATTATGGGCATGAGCCATTGCAGCCAGCTGCTATATTTTTAGTGTAAAGTTCTCCATATTGGATTTCTGTTTTGTTTTGTTTTTGAGACAGGCTCTTCCTCTGTCACCCAGGCTGGAGTGCAATGGCACCAGCTTGGCTCACTGCAGTCTCCACCTCCTGGGCTCAAGTGATCCGTCCACCTTAACCTCCCAAGTAGCTGGGACTACAGGTGCTGCCACTATGCAAAAAAAATTGCTAAATTTTTTTTGGTGTGCATGTATGTGTTGTAGAGACAGAGATTCTCCAGATTTCCCAGGTTCATTTCCAATTTCTGGGTTAAAGCGATCCTCCCACCGTGGCCTCCCAAAATGCTGGGATTACAGGAGTGAGCCACCATGTTCGGTCTCCATATTGAATTTTTACACAGTTGACAAAATGTAACCTAAAAGGACAAAAGTCTCAAAAAAGAAGTAGTCGAGAATACATGGACTTAGTTGATGGTGTGGAAACATATGAAAAAGCAAAAACAAGCACACACACACAAAAAACAAGCACAAATAAACAAATCCATCAACCACGCAAGAACGCCCACCCCCTTTTGCTGCCTTTCCCAACACAAAGGCAACAGAAACCGCCATTTTTTCCCCATGAATGAAAATAGTTCCTCAGGTTGTGAGAAAACATTATTAGTTTAAGATTAAATGAGTGACTTCAGTTTACAAAACCAAAATTATGTGTTAGCTACAAAGTTCAAAGATTTAAACTTCAGCTAACTTCAATGTCTGTTTTAAGAAGATCACTAATATCAAGGACCAAGAAAAATACAAGCAAAGCCTGAAGTAATATTATTTCACATTATTTTACTTTCTTTCAATTTAGAAAATGACACATACTTCTGAACACTATAAAAAGAGATGCTGAGGTCAAATGTAGCACTCAGTAAATATTGATTATTGGTGTAAATATGAAACAACATGATGATATACATTTTCTGAAAAAACGTTTGCTTAGTAGTCTAATTAAACAAGACTGAATATTTTGCATTTTAATACTCAGGAGAAAAATCGCCAACTGTTTTGTAGCATGCCTGGAATTTTAAATTTCATTTTCTGGTGCCAGATTGAAATAAAAATAGGAAACATGATAAAGATTAATTTGATGTCAGAAGGGACATTTGCTCTTTAATTAGATTTCTGCAGCCCTCGCAGTTTTGTTGTGCCACCAGAGCAAGTCCGAAAAAGCCTGCAGCACAACCAAACAGTGATCCTCATATCCACACTTTACTGGGAACTAATTTCATTTCCTGCCTGTCTGGAGAGGTATTTTCAACAGGCATCAATGTTTTTGTCTTCACAACTGATTTATTCATCAATCTCAATGTGATTTTTTTAAAACCTTTAAATTACACCCAAATCCTAAAGCAGCTGTTTATTACACAAGGAAATTGAAAATCTGTCTGTGTGATATCATACAAAGATTTTTTTCTTAAGTTTATAAAGGAAGTTGACAGATATTAATGATTTTTTTCTCTTGACCTCATTCGACAATCTCATGAGCAGAAAAAAAGGAAGAAAATTGGACAAAAAAAAGCAGGTCCATGGTTTCAGTGTATAAAACATTATTCTAGAAAAAAAAATGAAACTATTATTCCTGGTGGACTACACAATCATTTTTGTAGGATACATTCATTTTCAAAAGGATAATAAAATAGCTAAAGTAATACTGGAATATGAGACACTATTTTAAAAATACAGTTGCTGTTAACTTTCTTCTCTCTCTCTCTCTCTTTCTCTCTCTCTGTCTGGTGTTTGGATATGTCCACATGGCTCCCACATGGGGAAGCAAACATCTTCAAGATAAAGGTGTTTTGAATGATGAATCAGGTCGGATTTTATCCACAACTCAGGTCTGCATCTACAGGCTGAAGACTAACTGATGACTCGGATGTGGGCCCCAACAAACTGTGGCGGTGGCAATAAATGAAGTGACAGCGTGGAGGGGAGGTGGACTCCCTTTTTGATCCTGATTTTGGGATTATCAGTTCTCTGGGGATACCAGTCCCCGTCACCTGCAGGATCCCACTCCAATTCCCTGCCCTTGACTCTGACCTTGCCCCTACCTCTCTATTTCCCTGCTTCCCACTGGCCTCCTTCCCATCTCCTAGACAGGCCATGCTCCTCCCCAGATTGGCTCTCCCAGCCTAGAGTCCCCTTTCCTGGCTGCTGCTGTCTGTGGGAACGTCCTCCACACCCTTCCCACTTTCCAGTATTTAAAGCATACTTCCTCTTCTCATCCTTCAGGTCACTGTGCCAGCCCTTGAGAAGGCCTTCCTTGTCCATCCCAGCTAAAGGCTCCATCCTTCCTCCATGCACCCTGAAAGTCTGGAATTCTGTCTTCCAGTTTTATTTGTTTTCAGAAGACCTTTGTTATTTGTTTATCATATCACCACTGCCATCCCTCCCCTGCCAACTCCACGGGGCAGGGGTCTCATGACTTGTTCTCACTCATCACTCAATTTCCAGAGCCTAGACAGTGTCTAGCACATGTTAGGGGTTCAATTAAAATTTTTTCAAATCAATTACATTTTTAAGAACTTCCAAGGAATTGAAATTGAAATTCTACTAGCTGATCTTTAATTCATTCTAACAGTGAAACACTTTTACTGCTTATTTGTTTGTCCCTTTGTTCACTACTCAACAATTATTTTGACTACTTACCATGATCAAGGCATTGTTAAAAGAGTTCTTAGTTAATGTAGTCTTTGAAGCGATTTACTCTCCATTTTGGGTTTATGCCATTTGGGTAAATTGTAATTAGGTCTTTCCATCTCAGCAAGCATACTTTTTGGGATACACTAACAGAACTGACTTAAAGGATGATGAATAACTTGTCCAGTGTAATCTGTTCTATTTTTTCTTATACAGTTAAGATTCTATATGGAAAGACAAATCTCTTGGATTTTTATATGTGGTCTTATGTAAATCTGAAATATTTGAAAACTATTCAGGATCACAGCCATATCATCCAAGGTGTTTGTGTTAGCATAAATAGAAAAAGTAATCATCTCTGAGTGATAAATCAGAGAAAGGATCTCCTCTGCACACAGCTCCAGCCCTCAGCATGGTGAGGAAACTGAATTTTTGTTTTTTTTCCTCTAGAAAGAAACAGCCCCCAACTATAGTGCTGTAAGCAAAACATGGGTCCTTAGCCGGGCAGCACCCTCAAACAGATGTCAATCATCCAACCAAAGGTGGTGTCCTCCAAACCATTAATTCTTCTTACAAACACTACTGGTTCGTTAAGATGCATGGATACCCAAGAATGTTCCTTTAATTGAAGTTGATGTCTGATGGGAAGAGTGGGAATTTGCCCCTAAGAATATAACTCGGTCATACGCCTCTTAAGACAAGGCAGGGTGGTGGGAAGTGGCTTTCTACATACTCTTCTTCCCCAGTGAATCAACAACTGGTGTGCTGGATGCAGATAAGAAAGTTGTCATAGCTTTAGCAGTATCTTTGGCTTAGGGACCAAGAAAGACTTCAGTAAGAAGATGAATCCCTTTGTTCTCCATAACCATTTTGATTTGAGAAGTAACCAGAATTTAAAGATCCTTTGAATTCTTAGGAGATACAGGTTTTCTCATATGAAAGAGTTAAGAGTCCGCAAGAATCATTGTGAATGAGATGCAGCAAGTCCTTAGAATTCAGCCTCTGAGTTTTGAACAGACCTGGGTTTGAATTCCAGCTCTAACCTTATGAGCATATGACTTAACTCTGCCAAGCCTCAGTGTCTTCCTCTAAATGAAGATAATGCTAGTACCCGCACTGTAAGTTTTCTGAGAATTAAAGAAGAGGGGGTATATTAAAAGCATTGGGCTTGTTACTGTGAGCTCTCAAAAGTCCTGTCAATAATAATAATAATAGTAATAATAATAATGAATTGGGGACTACGTATATTTGATTTCTTTTTCTGCCTCTCCTTCCGCTCCATCTCCCCAGTCCAACTAAAGATTTGAATTCCACAGAGAGGTAGGACTTCAATTCTACAGGAAAGCTGTGTTTGCCTTACATCCTTATAGCTTGGAGAACAAGAGAGTTCTCCAATTGGAGTATGTAAGTGATACCTGCATTTAATGTGATTTGTAGTTTTTACTTTTATTTATTTTTTAAAAAATTATATTCAGTCTCCATAGAGACTATAAAAGATTGCCAGTGTCAACTATACTGCGAGTTGTCATGGCAGGGTACTGGGAGAAGCTTTCAATTGGCAATAATCACATCTCAGATAAACTTCATTGGCTACGATACAGCCACTGCGCAAAGCTGCTTTTATTTTTTAAAATAAAATTTAAAAAATAGTTTTAGGATTTCAGGATGCCTTCTGTTCAGTTTAGTTTATATTGTTTGAGCCTAATTTTCAAATTTTAAAATAATACCAAAATCCAAAAGGAAGATTTGGTTTCAAAGAAAAGTTAAGCTAAAATTGCACACAAATGGTTTCAATAATCAGGGAGTGGGTAGGGAGGCTTCCAAACAGTCTGTGTTTTTCAATTTATGCAGAAGCCAGATATCCATTTTTAAATAAAACTCTGGTTAAAATGTTCAGTTCTTAGGACTTTCAGGGTTCCACCAGATTTGGTGTTGGATCTGATTTCATTTTTCAGCATTTATGGGACTCAAGAGGCATACCAGTCAAGACTTTCTCATCTCCAAACAATATTTTTTAAAAAGTTGTAGAATTCTCTATTCCAGAGAGATTCGGCAGCACTTGGTATCTTAAAATAACAAATGTACTTTATTCAAGAAACGGAAAACAAGAAGAATGATTAGAAACATGAAGCAAAATGGATATCATGGGAAAGAAACCAGTGATTATGAAAAGAAGCAACTGTCAATTGTGATGGCATAATGCCACACGAACTCACTACTTGTAAATTACATTTTGCAGAAAGCAGATATTTGTTGAATATCTTTAGTGCTCTCTTGACTTACACAGAAGGATAGAAAACACATATCCCCCATCCTGTCGTGGATAAACAGCCCTCCCACCCCCCGCCACCACACTTCACAATAGGGGTGCACACTCTAAGTCCAGAGCCATTGCACTTACTTGCTGCATGGTGGGTGAGTGTAAGGCGGACTGGACCTGCATAGGGAGCTGGTTCCCAAGGGGCTGCTGCATGGTGAGCGGCTGGTGCTGCTGCATGTTGAGATGCTGGTGAAGAGGCGGGCTGATCTGGAGGGGAGGAGGAGGGGACACAGCCATGTTCGCTATAGAGACAGTCACTGGCATTTGGTTATTCGGCTTGGGGGCTATGTTCCTGGGGAGACTAGGATGCATGGCGGTTAGGTGAGGATTCATTCCTGGTTGTTGGTGATAGTGGGAACTTAGGTACAGAGCCGAGTGGGCCTGGCTGGGCCCGTGGAACACCGACGGCTTGGAATTGATCAGCTGAGGAGGTTGAGATGTCTTCACGTCAACAGGTTCACTGTAGCTCTGTTGAGGAAACAAATGAGCAGAATTGGGAGGCTGATACATGAGTGTTGATTCTAGGTATGATGCTTTGTGAATTTATTAAAGCACTTTCCCTGGAATCCATACCCGTGACTATCCTGGAGTCTCATCTTAGAATCCCTCCACCACTATTTGTAATGTGATTTATACAAGACAGCTTCCATCCCTTTTTATGAAATTGAAAACAATCTGCAATGACATTTTGTTCCTTTGCCTAAATGTTTAACTTGGTGACTTTTCTCATCATCCAAATGAGGGTAACAAGATGGGTTTGTGGAGGGGGGGACGGGGAAGGCAGATGCCGCGAATGCCCAAATGGGAAACACACGTGAAGATTACTTTCAAAGCAATTCAGTTCTGGAGTTCTTCTATAGATTATAGGTTTGGTTTTTAATTTTTCCTTTTTTATATTCTCAAAGAGACTTGGCCTAGATATTTGCACAAAGAAAACAAAGCTGGCTGATGGAAATGGATATGGGAGAACAGAGTTCTAAAATACCTTTCTGAAGTCATATAAAACTACATTAATATACTCTTCAAAGTAACTGCAGAACTTATCCTGAGTTTTAAAATGAAGTTGGTGATGAATTGTCCTCCATAATGAAGTAGATAAAAATAATCTCTCTTAGAAATTTTAGACTCCATCATAAATTAATATAATTTTGCCCTAATTTTTCCACACCTTCATATGGTCATTTCCTAATAATATTTTAATTGATTTAAAAACTGAACAAGAATTAAGTCTGTAGCAATTCCTCATGGGTCTGAACCTACCTCCTACATTTCCTGAGAGGAAGAGACTGATAAAACAACCAAAGATAGAAGGTAGAACCAACTGGAAAGAAAAAAATGATAAAATGGACTGGAGAAAAAAAAAATCACTTTGTCAAAACAAGGTCTTGAGGACGCATATATGCTTTTACTCTGCAATCTCGATGTCATGCTTATTCAGCTTTCAAGTCAAAGTGAGTTTCTTCCTACTCTCCGCACTGCAGGGAGCACTGTGCCATGAGGGCTCTCGGGGTCCTTCTGCTCGGTGCACCACCAGGCAACCCACTGACAGGCCCTTAGAGAAACGGGTTCATCATGCATGACGGCATGAAACTCAAGCCGGGTAGCTTCATTATCACCAGGCAGCTTACAATACAGTTAGCAACACAACTCATTTGTCTTTAATAATGCAGTCAAGTTTCATGAAAACTACTGTAAGAATAATGCAGCGTATGTCTGCTGACTCCCAGGGGGACAGGCTGGGGTGGGTGGACGATTAGCCCCACATTCTGTCATTACAGAAAGGACACATCTGACACCTGTAAAAGTATGTCAAACCATGGAAACCTGGGGTCCTGTGAGACTCTGAATACTCCATGCACAGTATAAAGTAAGGTGTACCCAAATAATTCCAGCCCCTTTGGAGAGTCCTCTCATCCTGACATTTTTCCCTGTGTCACTGTTGATGCAGCTTTCTGAAATAGGAACAAACATTTAGACTCCCTGTCTTCGCTATTAACATGAAAAATGTCAAAAACTGTTCATGAAAAATCTTTAAGGGAGGTTTTAGATCAAAAAAGCTTTATTAAATGTAGCTCCTAAAAGGTACTTTCAATTAAAAAAAAAAAGTTTTAAGTAGATTTTTTTTGGCTTCCATTTAAAAATTCTTATTGTTGATGTGCAAAATAGTTAACAATTCAAGGAAAAGGTCAAATGGGTTAATCGAAGCTGTGTAAACAGTGACTACTTCCACATCAGAATAACATGTACTGCAATTGATATGCCTAAAAAATTATTCCATATATGCCAGAAAGATTATGTCTTAAGTCTGTGTGTTTAAGTAATCTGGAAAAGTGTTCGGTGTGTTTGAATTCCCTCTTTTTAGCCTATTGCAGAAAGGCTAGTTTCATATTTAGTCACAGACTGTGTTGACTTCATACCAGAAAGAAATCATATTTATAAAAATGGATACATATTGGTACATCTTTAGTTTTTGCTTTATAGTTGTTGTTTTTAATTTAAAAATAATACAAGTCACTCACATTCTCCTATGATCAAAAGTAGAAAATATGTGTAATTGTAAAAATGTTTTCATTTTTAATTTCTGTATATAACTTATTACTAGATAATGAGGTAACTTTTGGCTAAAGAAATAAAAATATCAAATTCAAAATAAACAATGAATCTAATTCTCCTGAATTCTACTATTTAAATAATAGTATGTGGTCCATCATATAGACAGATGATAGATAAGCAGACAGAGATGGAATAGATATACAGATTTATAGAAGTCAACAGATAGCAACCTAATTTGAGATACTTTATTACCAACCTTGGAAAGCTCTCTTTTCTCATGGATAATTAAACACAAAACATTTTCTCTGTCTAGCCACTTATTTATCATTTATGTCCTCTATATCAAAGCTGCAAAGACCAGTCCCCTTCAACCTACTTTGAAAGAGTAGTCACTTTTAATCACTAGAAGAACTATTGGCAAACTCAAAGTAAATACAGTTCCAAAGATGATGATTCAGACAACACTTGAAACATAATTTTTAACATAGAGGGAGGGAGACTTTGGGGGAAGTTATATATATTTTCCCTTTATTTTCTAATCATTGAATGTGACAACAAATAATGTATCCAGCCATGTGCCTAAATGTGGCAAGTGCTCCAATGTGAGTTCTCGTCCTGTAGACTCTTTTCACAAAGATATCCTGATTCCTCCAAAAGGGGATCTTTTTTTGATGGTAGGGACTTGAATTTCTGTAGCCCACGCATCTACCATAGTGCAAAGTACGTAAAAACATAATTATGTTTTCTAAGGCGTGAATGACTACTCTTGAGCAATCCTCCAGGCAGCCACCATTGCCCTTGCTGACTTGCCCCCTTGACCAGACACACCGTTCCTCTTCCCATGGAGTGAGGAAGGATCTGAAGACTTGGAAAAGCCACAGAGTATTAGACTGCCTTCCTCATGCTCTTCTCTGCTCTCGGCAGGAGCCAAACCCTTCCTGAAGTGATGAGAAATTGCAGCTTTCCGCTCTGTCCTTTGGTTAGATACACTGCCCTTTATGCCTCACTGCTCTTGGGGGAACGGCGGCAGCAGGGCAGCTAGTTCAGTCTCACCCTTACTTTGGGAATTTGTATCTTTATATAATGGTCCACTCATTTAGATGAGGAAAAACCTGCTTCTGGCTTCGCTTTTCATTAATTATTAAGCAGACTAGTACAATAGACAATCTATTAGTTACAGAGCTATTTTATTGTTCTGGAAGATAGGTAGAATAAGTTCATTTTCAGTGGGAAACTGCCATAAATTCATAATGCGATTAAATGAAAATACATAGAAATCATAATGTATTCTTACTGTCATTTTTTTTCAATTTAACTGTGAAAGCAAGGCTACAATTTTGCTAATCAATTATATCGCATATGAAGACTTCTATAACTATCATTCAGAAATTAGAACTATTTTCCCATACATACTAAGTAATGTGCATTTGTTTCCACTTTTAAACACATTAACCACTTTTATTGAGCAATGAGTGTCATATTGGTCACCTGACAAATGTGTTTCCCAGCATGTAGACAACTGAAAATCAACCTTTGGATCCCACACTTTCACAGGAGAAATGTGTTCTTTGCTGTTAGTTTCAGAGTATGTTCTCTTTCCTATGTGCTTTTAGACCACAGATTCTGGAAGATATTTTCTACAAGCCATAAAGTGGGGGTAGTGGCCAGAGAGACATTTTGAGGATTATCTGTAGCGGGTTCCTTTGACATATGCAAAATGTATAAAGGATACAACTCTATAAGCCTGAAGATACCTCTTACTAACCAAATTGTTGATTATCCAAGGTAGCTTCAATCCCATCTACTTTGTATAAAGAAGATAATACTGCATAGCGTATAATTTCCCCCATTCTGGGATGATACGTGCTATAAAAATGAAAGATTGACAAAGCTATTGTTATTTAAAATAGCAAAGTATAAACACAATACATAAAACTCAGTGGAAAGAACAATATAAGAGTTTCTGAACCAAATCAAATTAATAGTCCATCTAATTTGATTCTTGTTTTCAGCACTGACCGATACTTGATGCATTGAAAATTAAACAAAATTTATGCACCTACTCAATTGTGCATTGCTCCTTCTGGAAGAAAACTTCTTTCTGGTCCATGCAGGTGATTAACTTATACCCTGAAGCATGAGACTTTATTATCTTTAAATCACGATCTGGGTTTACAGAGCTGCAAATTTTATGTTACCAGTCATACAATGATCCATCCCATTTGCAAATTCAGACTCAGTATTTGTCTCTATAGCTCACCATGGCATGATATCTGTAAGTTTGCCTCATTTTATAAAAAGAAACTATTTTCTTTTTCAAATCCACTTTCCTTTAATTGAACTAAGCATCGTGCTTCTTTACTATTGACTATGGAAACAGAGAACTTTCTTGTCTTAATTCAATATTGTCTTGTTCCGTATGTTAAAAAAAAAAAAGGTTTCCATTTGTCCTTTACACATTTTAGTGCTTCATGAACTATTCCTTAAGGTAGAAACAAAATCTTATATTTGATGTTATGACCTTAAAGTCATGAATCTGATTGCCTTTATTTAATAAACCAGAACATAGTTATCCAAATGCCATATCCTTCCAGGTTGGCAATCCTGAGACGTTATACACTTATTTCAATAATGCTGCCTTTATTTGGGATATTTGGGAGCTTCCCTACTGGAATTCTCTTCAGAGCCTGTGGGACACTGTTTTACATATCCTCAGACAACTCTTTGTCTTTTGATGGTGAATTTGATTTTTGGAAACAGCTAATAGTCACTTGAAGCCAAGTCTGCGGGTTATATCTGGGTGATGTTTGGGGAAAAGAATGAGGTGTGAAAACAATGTAACAAGATTGATTTTCTAATGTGGCTCATAAACTTTTCCTGACTACAGTTCTAAAAGAGGAGTTTCAAAAATTTTT